GCGCGTTACGCTCTTCCCCCACCGTACATTCGACTCAGGAGTTTGTTCACCTTTAACGCGAGGTGGACTCAGTGAGGATGGGAAGCGACGGCGCGGGGAGGGGGTTGAACCACTGCGGCGTTATGGGGAGGGGGGAGGGAAGGAAGATGTATCCTTGTCCGGCGCTTCTGCGGTCGGTAAGTGAAACTCGCGAATTAACTCTTGACCGTGTGCTTACGGCACTCGCCCGAAGTCAGTTTAAATCATTCGCGGAGACGGGCGCATCAGATTGAGCCAGCGTTGATAAATCCACGCTAGTTCCTCTTATCGCTCGGAATTTATAATTGCAAAAAATAACGAATTCGTTACGGGCCGCCAAAGTCGATAAATGAGCTCGTTGAATTGCGCGGGGGACGATGAAATTTCAGTGGTGTCGGGTTGCCGTACGATTTCTACGCTAATTCGTAACGCTTTTTCCAGCCTCGTGCAACACCTTGAAAACAAAAGTTATTGCATTTGCAGCCGTTAACCGGCCTAATGAAAACATAAACATGCGCGTTGAGCGACCAGCGGACAAGGACGCGGCGATAAATAGCATTGCACAAAAAGACCACGTAGCGCGCGTGACTAGCCTGCAAAGTTTCACCATCGAGAGGAAAGGAAGAATTTTCTTTTAAAACGAGGAGGGGAATGAGCTGATTTGGAGGGTAGAACATTACTTTTCCGAGGCTGATCGATATGCGCCAAAAGCAACACAACACCCTGTCGCGATTAGGGCCCGACGTCGACCGACGTTTTTACAGGAACAGCGGTCCCGAAAATATTTCATTTTTCACCGGATGATGCACCAATTAATAATCTTCTCCATTCCCGTGAAATATGGTTTCTTTTCAAATTATTGGGATTTTATAGTTGTACATAAGGGTTATTGCAAAATCTTGTCAAAATAATACTTTAGGATTCATCAAGGAGAAGTCGGGATTTTAATTCTTCGATAGCAACGATCAATCGGACGCGAGACAAGTGGTACGAAGACATCTCCCGGGGGATTCACAAATGCATTGCTTTTCTATTCGGGATAAGAAAGAGCGAGAAAGGATATAAGATTGCAAAAACATTAGAGGGATGAACTTTCTACTTTGCTCGACTTTCTGTAAAATAATTCAATAATATTGCTTAGTTAACTGAAATGAATGAATTTGTGACTGGATTAAGAAGATTTTTAATTAATTTCAATAGCTACATTAACAATAAATAAAGTAAAAAATATATATTTAATCGTACTCTAACAAATAAAATTTAGATAAATATAGAGCTATAGAGCTCGACTAGGAAATCGGCTTCAAAGGATTTTCTTATTTTATGGAGTATATTTTTTTAAACTAAACCTTCCCGACTATTCAATTAACACCTCTAACTGTATAAGCATGCAAACGAGACACAAAATAGTTTATCCATTCTCTTAGCTTGAGAAATATATTCAATTCAAGAATTATTATGTGATAAAATAAATCTTTCATTTATCAAACGAAACTTTAATTGATAAAATAAATTAAAAATTAATAGATATTAATTAATTTCAATAAAGAAATATTGATTACCTAAGTAGAAATTTAGATAATTTACATTATGAGTTAGTTATATCGCAGATGGAGCAAATGTATAATGAAAACGATCGAATTAGAAATTTAAAAATTTGTTTTTAAGTAGCATTATAATGAGTAATAACTAAAAATCTATATTTTAATAAATAATAAGCGAAAAATTTTATACTAGTGTATTTTAGATCAACATTAACTAAAGCAAAAAAAAAAAAAGTATTTCGCTCATTCAAATAATGAAATATAATGATCTTGAATAAGATTATTCGTATATGTTAAAGTCTTACTTGTATACATGAACAGTAGGTTGCATTGACTACAAAGTGTATTTTTCCATAATAGAGTTTGTTAACAAACAGTTATAGATCTTAAGATATGTACTGGAATAGACTAGTATCTCTACAAAGACGTCAATGTTCTAATGAATAGGTAATGATTTAAAATTTATATAAAAAAAAAAAAAAAAAAAAAAAAAAAAAAAAAGAAACAAAGAGAGAAGGAGAGGGGGAGAGAGAAAGTTAGAATAAGCGTCAATAGAGTACGGTTAATTTTCGTTAAAGGAAAAACAAAGTCCTATTGAAGCTAATCCATCAACGATTGACCTTAATTGCCGATATAAAATTATTTAGCTACATGTTCACATTACACGCATACTTATTTTAATTCATATATATTGAAATATTATTCGACTCTGAAGCTCAATAAAGCGTGATATTGCATTATCACCATCTTATTTAAATGCATTATTATCGCCGTCCGTAACGCGCTATTCTGTATAAGATCCTGAATGCGGTTGATTGCGGAAACCCGTTCGTTCTGATTGGGGCCCATTGTTGTGGCCGACGTTCGCTTCAATTTGATTCTTGTTTTTGAAAGCAATCCAAGTCTGAAACTTGCAAACCTTCATTACGTCAAAAATAAAATATAAAATACGCGAGACATTTCATTCGATGGATGAAGTTGAAGTTCATTAGATGGATGAAAGAGTTAATGCAAAATAATCATATTTTCCACGGGAAATGTGGGTATCGTTTGTAGATAAATCGAAAAATGTACTGCTTAATCAAGTATCATCGAGTGATTAAACTACCGCAAAAATCAGCCGCGTAAACATTATTATTAATTATGCAATTGTTACGGGACGTTATTCTAAACAATTTTTTCTATTATTAATTGTAGATTTCGTGAATTTTAATGATAGTGACGACATTGAAATCAGCATAAAGCCACAATCGCGAACGACCATTCTTCTTCTTTCATTCTCATTCGCGCGATCTCGTCCAGTATAATCCAAAATAATCAAGGACAAAAAGACGGCAAAAAAAAAAAACAAAACGGGCAGGCTGAAAATTCGCATTACCGCTGATAGGAGACCGATAACAAAACTGTTTGTTGCCACTTTAAATCGAATGCAAAAGTTCAAATACATTTCACATACTGTTCCGCAGAAAACCCGTCTCAACACTTGGCTTAACAGAGCGATATTCTCACCCTATAACCGTTAAGACCTTATAAACGATTACAATAAACTTTAATCTCCAGCAAAAAAAAGAGAAGAAAATAGAGAGAGAAAGAGAGAGAGAGAGAGAGAGAGAGAGAGAGAGAGAGAGAGAAAGAGAGAGAGAGAAGAAAGGAGAAAAAATATATTTATAGCCCCAGTCGCGGCGAATGTAGAACCCATTAAAGCGTACAATGCATTATCGTAATTTTCCAAAGATTCCAGCACTGTGCAACAGCAATAAGCCGAATGAAAAAGTGAGACGCACGTGCTAGCGGGAGCTGCGGCGCACGACGCGGAAGCACCGCGATTATAAAAAAACAGCGGCGACGAAAAATCGGCCCATCGGCATCGTCGGCTAATAAGCCAGACATCAAAAGTTCCCGGCGCACCTAACCATCGTCTTCTAATTCCCGGCGCTGCGTGCAAGTGGGCGGGGGACGCCCCAAGGGCATTGCCAGTAAAATAAAAGGACATTGTGGCGCGTGCGCGCGGGGAAATGCCGAGAGGGGAATAAATGAAGAAGAACAAGAAGGAGTAGGAGGAGGTGGAGGAGGTGGAGGAGGAGATGGTG